TTATAACAAAAATACAATTTTTAAAGTTTTTGTCTGTCTGTATGTCTGTCCGTCTGTCTGTCTGTTTGTTCCGGCTAATCTCCGAAACGGCTGGACCAATTTCGACGGGATTTTCACTGGCAGATAGCTGATGTGACGAGGAGTAACTTAGGCTTCTTTTAGTTTAGAAAAAGAATTAGAGTTCCGCGCTAAAAAATTAAAACCACAAATAACACGCGGGCGAAGTCGCGGTGAACAGCTAGTTAATAATATAAAACAAAGTTGTACGTACATTCAACATTTATAGATACTTTAAGATTGATGGAAAATCCTTTAAATAGTTCGTTTTTCGTTACACGCATTTTTTTCATATTACATTAGACAAAACACGAATATCAAAACAACAATTTTTTTTCCACATTTCATGATTTCGGTTAGATTTTCATAAAATTTTTAGGCCGTTTACTTAAATTGGCATCTTTTTTATGTGAAATAAAATTAAGTTACGTTAAAATTTCTAGTTTGCCTAAAAACGATTGTCTCCTTACTTAAAAATATAGGATACACTAGTTCTTGTCTATTGAACATGTCCAATGGTTCAATACTTTTGATTGTGTTTTAATGAATAACACAAAAGCTACAGCCTGGTCCAAAACATAGATTTTTATGATACGCGATGATTGCAGGGGGCCTAGATTTAGGAGTGTTCCAGGGATGTATCGTATGCGAGGCGTTGGCATTCGGATGTTCAGGGATTATGGGCGCAATTTTCGTCACTGACATTGGAGTGAGCTTCGTCTTTACATGTTCATGCTATAATTTATCAAATACAGCTAACTACAAGCACGATAACATAAAAATTATTTGATCTTCTCTACCTCCTGGTCTGATGATACGCCTAGTAATTTTATTATTGTACCTCTTTTTTGGACAAAAATATACTACTAATACTATAAATATACTAATAATAATTTATAAACGAATTAAAGCTAAATATATTAATAACATATTTATTTTACAAGGTCAAGGGCGTTACAAATTTATTAATACTTGCAACGAGTATAAAGCACATGTTTTGAATTTAGATATTTTGCGTCCCATTTTTTTTCTATATTAAAGTTTCCTATACATAGTGAAAAATATTAATGTCATAGGCTTCTTTTCCGTTCACCTTTTACACTCACCCCCTAAAGAAACAGCCAATATAGGTTAGCCAAGCCAGCCAAAATATTTTTATTATTTTATTTATTACTTTAATAATAAAAAAAAAAATAACAAACTGGGAAACACCGATGTGAAAATAGTATGAAATTACATCTGTATCCTGGCACAATAATTAGTTAAAAACTTGTATTGTAAGAGAAAGATATTACAGGGGGTGTGGGAAACTTTGGTGTATTCGAAGAGTGCTTGGCTGCCGAGGAGTTCGCCTTTGGCTGTACGGGCATAACGACTGCCATAGGAGGGACAGGTCTTGGAGTGAGTCGATAAACAATATTAATTAAATTCAAAACAGCGGCATAGCAAGCGGTTGAGCATGGGGCCATTGCCACGAGTGGAGTAGGTCCAAGGACGCGGCATTTTAATGCCTATAATAATATCAATTTTATTTATTACTAAATAAACACTTGATATAATTAAACTAAAAAAAAAACGTAAAAATCGACTGCAAAGAGCTTCTAATTTATCGGTGCACTATGTATTGTTTAAATCGTTATACCTCCTCTACACTTTTTTTTTATAAGATAAGGGTGACAAACGGGCACACAGTCCACCTGATGGTAAGTGGTTGCTGCGGCCCATAGACATCTACATCTATCCACTATTACAAATCAATATGCATATGCGTTGTCACCCGTGAGGACTAAGATGGAATGCCTCGTTTCCAGTAAAAAGGGTCTCCGGATCTCTACACTCACCATACGAAACACAGCAGCGTTAAGCTGCTATTTTATGCTGGTGTTCTGTGAGAGCGCGGTCCTTCCCCGGTCGAGCCGACCCATTCGTGCTAAAAATATACTACTAATATAGCTGCAGCATGCCGCACCCTTAACATGAATAACGTTCAAGAGGCAGCTGCTATAGGTACCTAATTGTGTGAACAGTACGACGTCAATGTGTTAACTAAATAAATAATTATGTAGAAAGCTACATATTTAATATCTATATATAAAAAAAAATATTCATAACTGGCGTAAGCCGAGTAGTGTAGTGAGACGCTGCGTGTAACTTCGGGGTACTTCGCGAAGTCCTTTGACTCTGGTGCAAAAAACCGACAGCGATCGGAAGTCGCCTGACGCGAAGCGAGGTTGCACGAAGCGCATCGAAGTACCTCTACACTATTCGCCTCGTCCAACTTCGATCTACTTCGCGAGTAGTGTAGAGGAGGCATTACCAAATAACATACATAAATAGGCATAGAATTCTTTTATTCAGGGACTTTATTTACTTATTTACGTAGTAGAGCCACGCTGCAGCTTTGATATGGTTGTAGCGCGAATGGGTCGGCTCGAACGGGGTGGGACCACGCTCTCACAGAATAGCAGCCTAATGTTGCTGTGTTTCGTATGGTGGGTGTAGAAAAACGGAGACCGGAAACGAGGCATTCCATCTTAGTCCTCAGAGGATCTGTTAACTAATCAAGGATAAATGTAGATGCCTATAGGCAACAGCATCCACTTACCATCGGGTAGACTGTGTGCGCGTTTGTCACCATTATTCTATAAAAAAAAAGAACATGAGATTGCAGGGGGTTATATATTTTCGACTCGGCAACCCATGCTACGCCGCTGATTCAAATGTAGGTACCTACTTGTGTGTACTTAAGGTGGGCGAACTAAATGCTTTGTGTAAATATGTATTTATACGTATTTATTTCAATCGTCTTTTTTGTATGTGCTCATTGTAAAATATTCAATGTTATGTTGTATGTAATGGGTAAATGGCAGAAATTTGTAAACTTCAATACTAGCTTAATATATAACCTTAAAGGCACTAACAGATATAGCAAAAAAAACAGATTATTATATAGATGGACATAACAATTAATAAATTAGCATTTCTATATACATAAATTGTTAAACTAACTGGGGTAACTCACAAATTAAACACTTAAATATATAAATTCCACCAACTTAATGGACCATAAATTAACGATAAAAACAGGATAACTCACTAATAGGCTCCGTGGCGCAGTGGCATAGCAATGAGTTGCAGAGCTAAGAGCCGCGGGTTCGAATCCCGCACGGAACAGGTATTGCCTACAAATAATTGTTCTGGGTCTGGATGTTTGTCCTTGTGAAATCTTCGTATGTAACGTGTCCCACGATACAGGAGAAAATCCTAGTTTGGATATAACGTTTTTAAATTAAAAAAAGGCTTCTCATAAATTGAATGTTGCTTAGCTTTCATACCCACAATCGCATAGCTGGCTTATTGTTGTATATCCGCTCATTTTATAAACAAAAAAGCTTACCAGAAGTGGTTAAAGGGAATAGCATTACTAATATTTAAAAAAATAAAGCCACCCCACCCTCCACGCTACGCTTTATTCATCGCTAGTGTGTATGAAGTCATAACATTCATGAAAGTAGAAATAACAATTGATTTTTTGTAATTCTCCATACACGTAATATCAAACTACAACAACAATAAAGAGAGCCACATTATTATGTGGCTCTCGTAAGCATGTCTTATTAGAAATGCTTACGTTTTGAAGACTGCATGTTTGCTTTTACGTTACAGTAATAGTAAAGATACTGTGACATAATATGTGGCCATACGGACATATTAAACAATTGTATGACATTATTATCATCATTACAGCCCATCACAAATCTATTTGTGAACATAGGCCTCCTCCACGGAATGCTACAAAACACTTAGACCCTGATCCACTTGCATCCATCGACTTCTTGCACCTGTCACCAGGTCGTTACTCCATCTAGCGGGGAGCCGAGCCACACTTCACTTACTGGTACGAGGCTGCCACCCGAGAACCTTTCTTCGCCGTTGTTTGTTGATTCTTCCAGCTATATTACTCTGGTTCTACTGCGGATATCCTCATTACGAAGTCCTATCACGCAGAGAACCTCCGAGTATAGCCCTCTTCATAGCTCGCTGAGCAACATTGAGTTTTCGCATACGGTCAGCTGTGAAGGATCTCATCCCAGATCCGTTTGTCATCACTAGCAACACGCAGTGGTAGTACACTCTAGTTATCTATATTTGAGGTAATCGTGATCAAAAAAACTTTCGTAATCTTCCGAAAACTGACGATCTGAGTTGTATCCATTGATTAACTTCTCGGTCGTATTTGGATAATTGCTCTAGGTTACCTGTTAACAATTTCGAGTGTAGTGTTCCCAGCAAAAAAATGTTCAAAAAAGTTTTTAAAAATCTAATTATTCTGAAAGGACCGAGAAGTACAAAAAAAATTTACATGGAAATCAAATTCCATACATTTCAACTCAAATTTCTTAGTTCCGTAGACGATGACAAAATTCCGTAGATCATCAGAAGCATCCGTAAAGCTGGCAACGCTGCGCACCGCTCTTGCACACTGCGCTTGCCGACGAAGCCCCGTTACATCGTGGTGCGTCGAGCCATCTCAAGGCCCAGCGCAGCATGGCGCAACGCTGCGGAACATTTTCGAATTATCTCAATAAAATGTGTATCTTTATGTGTAGTAAATAAAGTTATATTTTGTATCACGATTATTAAAAAAAACGCACCGCTTCGCGTCGCGTCACTTTTCCGTGTGAGCTGGCCCTTAGAAAGCAATTTGCTACTAAAAAAGAAATCTAGAAAACAGTGCAACCACTACCTTGAATTTTAAAGTTTGAATTGTACATTCAAAAACACTTGTATTGAATTTAATGAAAACTGCCATGAAAATTTTATTGCAATTATTTCTAAATAAAAGTGTGAAATTGATTCACAGACATCGCTTTACATTGTTGACGCGCTATCCTTGGTTTGCTTTCACATTGTTCACCCGTGCTCGTCTGAAAATATTGCAGGCGGTTTGGACATGGGTGTCTTTGACGGGTGCATGGTAGCCGAGGAGCTAGCGTACGGTTGCACCGGTATCATGACTGCAATGGAGGCCAGCGGCCTGGGCGTGAGTTGCATGTCCTGGAATTCCATTTCAAAGTGTTGTCTAATCCATTTTTGTACCTATTTGGTTTTTGTAAATTCTTCTAGCGCTTATTCTTCATTTTGAAGTAATTAAGTGCATACATACATATGGTAAACATTTCAATCTGTACATCTATACAGATAAATAAAATTTAAGTGTCTGTTTGTAATGTTAATATAACAGCTTTTTACTAAATGCATATGAAAGTATATACGGTACTACTAATAACAAAAAAACAATTTTTAACATTTTTGTCTGTCTGTCTGTTTGTTTGTTCCGGCTAATCTCCGAAACCGCTGGACCGATTTTGATGGGACTTTCACTGGCAGATAACTGATGTTATAAGGAGTAACTTAGGTTACTTTTATTTTGGAATAGGAATTAGGGTTCCGCGCAAAAAAATTGAAACCCTTGAAATCGTAGTAAATTCTACGCAGGCGAAGTCGCGAGGGACAGCTAGTCTGTAATATGGTAAACTATTCATGTTGCCGCCGACTTCGCCCGCGTGGAATTTGTTACGATTGGATTTCATGGGTTGTAATTTTTAGCGCGGAACCTTAATTTTTATACTAAAACAAAAACAGCCTAAATTACTCCTTATAACATCAGCTATCAGCCATTGAAACTCCCATCAAAATCGGTCCAGCCGTTTCGGAGATTAGTTGGAATAAACAGACAGACAAAAAATTTAAAAATTGTTTTTTTTTTGTTATAAGTACCGTAAATACTTTCATACGCAATTAGTAAAAAGCTGTTATTTTGACATTACAAACAGATACTTCAATTTTATTTATTTGTATAGATTATTGAACTGTTAATACATAAAGTCGTATTCGTATGATTTTAAACGTTATAATAATGCCATAATTTTTCAAAAACTTTTTTTGCCAAAAAATACGCTTACGTCAAAAAACAACAATCTAGAAATAGTTTTTATTATATTGTTTGAGCAAAATTCACAATGCATTTCTTATTTGCAAGTCTTTAAAGTTAAATTATGTATTTTTATTAACAACTAACATTAATAATTTTAGTGGCTACGGCTATTTGGGTTTCATTTCCACGTTTCTACGGCACTCGCTAAGCTTTATGCACATCGGACAATCATGTGAGCTAGTGAGCCATCGTTTCTCAACTGGCGCTTCTTCAGATAAAAAAGGAATAAAATAGCGTAATAATTAAGGATCAATTTGTTTTTTGTTTTTTTTAGTACTTACAATTATTATGATGGAGAGTAAATAAATGGTTGAGAAACGACGTCCTCAGCTGAAGCTTTTCATATTACTAACCCTTGTTGTAATCTGTGTTCACAAATTTTGTTTACTTAACTCTCATAACACAGCCTAATGTGGAATAGCATGACTAATTTGGAATAATGATAAATTATTCCTAACTTTCTTTAATTAAAAATACAATCTTCACATTCAAATATTTCAGCAAACGCCTGTGATCATAGCTGGTAATAAGGAACAGCAGAAGAAGTATCTCGGAAGGCTGATCGAGGAGCCTCTTGTTGCTGTGAGTATAAATTTATATTTTTTTCTTATTTTAAATATGTCTTCAATGAGGATTGAGGACATCCACTACTTTATCTACCAGCAGGGGCCTGTCACTTAGGAATGAGTTAAAATAATTCACAGATTTCATTTTTTTTATTCATAGTTAAAGAGCTTTGTCGCTGATGCGATTATGCCGCCCTAGTAGTTACAAAAAAATCTTAAATATAATAATTACTTACAATTAAACTTATTATACTTACTAGTTACTTATTCTCTTATTAAATAACAAACACAGTTCTTTGGCATCATCTGATAACGGGTCCGATAAAATACTATTACTACTACCAATTAAGGACAAATGTAAATTACAATTTTCTCTTTCTCTTGAGTTCTGGGTACATTCTATGAAAATGGGATAAACATCATCAATAATATTACAAATTGAATAATTTGGTGAGGTAATTTGTCGCATCAAGTATAAAAATTTATTGCATGGAACAGATTTCATGGCAGGGAAATTAATTTATTATTAAAATGTAAGGGTTAATGTTCCTTTCTGAAATATTAGTTATATTTTATATTATTTATATTAGAAATGGGAAACCAAACTAAGCAGTTCTAAAATGAGAAAAATTAAAAAGTCTGATAAAAATGCACTGTCTGATAAACTTTTAATTAAAATGCAATTTCTCAATTACAATGACATTATGTAACAAATAACTTCACCTCTGTCCCAACTAGCGACATCTGGTGAGTAGGAAGTTTACTAGCACTCGTTGGCCGCATTCAAAAAAAATTGGGATTGGGAAAGAAAATGGGAATGAAATGATAAAATCAATAACAGATCAAAATATTCCAGTATTTTTCAAAAGTAATAATGTATAATGTATTTTTATCTACGGACGCAAACAGGCGTATTGTGTGACGGAGCCAGGCGCTGGTTCAGACGTAGCAGGCATTAAAACACGTGCCGAGAAGAAAGGCGACGAATGGATCCTTAACGGACAGAAGATGTGGATCACAAATGGAGGCGTTGCTAACTGGTAACACTTGTTTTGCTAGCGTATGACTTTATTAATATACAAATTAATGTTGAATTTACTGCATAAGGTCAAAACTAAGTTTTCGTCACATAATAATTCACTGCTTAATTTCGATTTAGAAGAAAACATCTGCTTCACATTATTCTGTAGAAATCACGTACTTTATCGCTTGACAGTGCCTAGTGCCTGAGATAGCAGAAAGTACTTTGGGTTTGAAATGTAGAATAAAGTTTGTAAATCCTTCTTTATAGCCGACTTCAAAAAAAGTAGGAGGTACTCAATTCGACTGTATGTTGTTTATGTGTCCTCAAAATCGATTCACCCAGAAACATATTCTGAGTTAACAGAACCTTTTTCTAGGTGAATCGATTTTGAGGATTCTTTTATCATTTGAAAGCTTTCTCTTGTGGTCCCATCTAAATTTGAATTAGAGTAGTTTTTGAATTTTCCTTAATAATGCGTATTTAATTGACTTCGATTACATTAATGATGTTCTCATTTTATTTATATTGAAGTCGGTTGTACAAAATTTTTAAATTACCACTTGTTTTATTAATAATGGTAATAATTAAATAATAATTAAATACTTTTATTTTTCTAGGTACTTCGTGTTGGCTAGAACTAACCCGGATCCCAAGTGCCCAGCTAGCAAAGCCTTTACTGGCTTCATTGTTGAGAGAGAATGGGCTGGAGTCACGCCTGGCCGCAAGGTAAGAAATAATTACGTTTCGTCCTTATTTGCAGAAATATCTTAAAACAGATCAGAGTCAGAAAATTTGTGCCTTAGAAATTTTCTCCGCCTAATTTTAAAAAGGTTTCTCTTTATTTTGAGTCTGTAAATTTGAATTCTGTACATGAACCTCTCTCTTAGAAAGAAGTATTTGAAGTAATCTACACAATTGTCTAGTTGCTAGGTAATTCTAGATAAATTAAATATATGACATCTTTGAACAATAAGATCGAAAAATACTCGGTATTTAACTTACTACACGAGCAATCGCCACCTATCGGAGGCCATGCGAAATGGCTGGTATTTCTTACAGTTTACACAGGATTTCTTGAGTTCTTACGCGCCGTCACCGTACGGCCATTAATACAAATAATTACTAGGTGATTAGGTCCTGTTCTGTCTAGTTGTCCGTTTAGGTGGGTACCACCATTACTCTCACCTACTTCAGCAGTGTTTGCCCTGTCGTGTTCCGTCTGAAGGGTATTAGAGAACCAGTATATATATACAGGTTGTGAAGAATTCCATCTGAGGACTTCAGGGATGATAACTCATCTGTGACCTTCTTTTTATGAAGTTAGTTGTAGGTGTCCTTACAATCAGGTGGATTGTCAGTTTGTTAATAATTTTAATATATACATACTTAAATGCAGGAACAAAATATGGGTCAGCGTGCCTCCGATACTCGCGGCATCACTTTTGAAGATGTGCGCATCCCCAAGGAAAACGTGCTCATCGGCGAGGGTGCCGGATTCAAGATCGCCATGGGAGCGTTCGACAAAACTCGACCACCGGTATGAATGGAACAATAAGATATTAAAAAGCTAAAAGAAACACGGTCAATGACACAAATAACTAATTACTTAATTTATTGAAAAAGGTTTTTTATAATGGTTACAATCAAACATACAAAATATTAAAGTCTGAAATTGCCGTCTTATATTTAATTTTTTTTGAAGTGACAATATCTTTAGAATAGTTGTGATCTGAAATTCGATGAAAAAGAGACAAACATATATATCTATGAGATTTATCTCGGTCTCCTTTGTTGAAGGATTTTCACTTTTACCGCGTGTGAACTACACATTTATTTCTTCAAAAAAGCTGTTAATTAATCGTAGTATTTATCTCTCATTATTAACAGGTAGATCATTCATATCGTTGCGATAAAGTTGTGGGAATTTGCAGGTCTACACGCTAACTTCGTTGACATCAAAGTGATAATTTACGTCGTATGCTATGATACCACGCAATGTACTGATCATTTTGATGTCAACACAGTTAGCGAATATGATAGGTCTCCAGGAGTGTACAAAGTCTATGGAACTATTTGTACCGCTTCCTTAAAACATTTCTTTTCCTTGGAGGTTATTGTTCCAATTGCGAAAAAATGGTAATCGATTTGGGATAGGTTTGTCGAGTAAAGAGTTGTTGTAATGTTAACTAATTATGTAAAGCGATAAAACCATAAACCCACAGTAATTTCGTTTTTCGTCTCCAGCTGAAAGTCTAACAATAGTGTATCATATAATTTTTGAATTTAGAATGTTATAGTTTTGTATAAAAAAGGTCTTTATCACAAATCCTGGCCCGGTGAATACAAAGTGGCCACTCTATTAAAACGTTAACTTCATATTTAACCCCTAGCACAAATTGCACAATTACTTAGTAAACGCCTCTAAGCCATGATTGGAAAGATAATTTTAAACTATATTAAGAGTTACAATTAATAATAGATTAAAGCATTGGTGTATACCGTAGTATACCGTATTTTATATCTAATTTATTATTGGTAATTCTGTCGCTTTTATTGTTACTATAAATTTTGGTACGCACGACACGTAAGTGCGCATACGTCATTGCAAAAGATAACTTCTATATACTAATACTAAATATCTTTTTACGCTCTTTCTCAATATTTTCTATCTTATCCTACCTATCCCTTATCAGTGGTTATTCAGAAAATTATAAGAAAATTTACATTGAGAATCAGGTTTAAATTAAATCAAAGAGAGATTATTTTCATTTGTACATTTTATTTTATTATGAACTTTAATTGCGAATTGTAATCGCGTCCAATTTTTATTTACCAGAGTTGCCACACTCCGCATACGGGTTGGCCATCTCAGTTTTTATAATTTTGAGTTGGAAAATGCTGTTAAATAAAATTATACTTCGTTCACGTGATAATACGGAGCAATGGGTACTCTTATGCCGCCTTAAATTATTTAAAAAAACTATAGTTTTTTATATAGATATATATTCCTATAGATATATATTTACTCTACCACATAAGAATGCCTATTTTATAGTAAATACGAATATGCAAGTTCTATTTTGTCATAATATAATAGACTAAAGATGACCACTTCAATTACACATAACATCTTTATCTATGCTTATCCAATTTTGCCTAGTTGATAAGTCTATTGAATCACTCGACTTATCAATTAGGCAAAATGGGAAATAACTAAAGCATATACAAAATATAGTATATGCTTAAGTTATTTCTCGAAGGAATATACGTTCATATTGACTAACATCAAAATATAAAACGTTAATCGTTTCTTTTTTAGGTAGAATGTTGGATGAGAACTTGCCATTGTTCTTTAGCAATCTTTGCGGCTTTGTGTGTTCAGGTGGCGGCAGGTGCGACCGGTCTTGCGCAACGTGCACTACACGAAGCGACGCGTTACGCACTAGAAAGGAAAACGTTCGGCGTTCCCATCGCCCAGCACCAAGCAGTAGCCTTTCTACTTGCCGATATGGCTATCGGCGTAGAAACCGCCCGTTTGGCCTGGCAGCGATCCGCTTGGATGGTTGATCACGGTTCGTATGTTGAAAAATTATTTTTAAGTAAAAGTTATTTTAACTAAATAATAAATTCACTTCTGTTATAACTCTTAAACAGACTATGCCTATATTACTAATCACGTACCAAAATAGTAATAGAAACGTTATTTTCAAAGTGATATTACAGATATTTGAAAGATTTTTGTGTGTTTATAAATTACATTATTTTTGGCCGTGCTCAATCAACACATACACTTTTTGGGGTGGACATGGCACATGACCCACCCGGCAACTCGTATACGTTTAAATTTCACAAAAAACGGGCACAGATTTAATAAGAAGGAAAGCAGAATTCAACATTTTTGCTTTTCATATTAAGTTTATACACAGTTCTTGTTCCAAAATCTTATTCGAGAATATTAATAGTAATAAGCCATTAATTAGACTACTAAGAGTATAGATAATGCGCATCACGGCATCAGACAAGAATCTTAATACAACCAATACGAACACAGTACCTTAGAGTTTGACATTTATTTACTTTATAATTTTTTAGACGTAAGGCAAAGGTAGGCCATTTATATAGCCCTTTTACGTCTACCTCACAGGTATTCACCATTAAAAATTTAAGAATTTTAAAATATTTAAAACTTAAATTTATAGTACAAAAATAAAACTACTTTTATTTTATCTATTCAAGTTTTTAGTTTTTAATTTCTTTTGAAAACTTTTATATGCTTTATCTTGCATTTGCGGCAATTGGTTATCTAATTTTAATGTAACAACATCCAATCATTATTGGATTCTGTTAACCACATTACACCAGTTCCATAATGTTCAAATTTTCTTATAGAATTTGTCCAAAAGGCTTCATGCTCCGATGAGTTGGTTATAGCTTGCCTTGAGGGCTTCCCTTTGTTTTTCCGACTAAGAGCTACTCCATTACACAAGTCAAATGAGTCATCAAAAATGACACAGCTTCTGATGTATTATTATTTAAAGTTGAGCTTACTGCTTTTCCATCAGCATAGTGGGCTGTAAAATTAAAATAAATAATTAATAACTAGCTGTTCACAATATGTTAGTCATAGAAATCCTAAATTATTAAAATATATGCAAAATATTATTGTCTTTATGATATAATGTTATCTGTTTCTTTTTTATTCTTATATAATACATAATACATCTTATATTTAGACATATGTTTAAATAAAAATAATCTCCTTCACCATAGTTTTGCCTGGAACAGATCATTGTTTATCAATTAGGGCCAGCTACAGTATAGCTATTACTAAGCAGGGCTTACTTCACGCAAATGATATTGGAATTTGATGAAGAGTTTGATATATTCCCCTTATTGTAGATTAAAATAAAACTTAGAATAATATATGTAATAATATTTAGATCAATAAACTTACAAAATTTTGATGTGTATGTCAATACTCCTGCAATAGTCATGCTTAGCATGCAACTGCAGTTTTTCTCCTGAGAAACATTAATTATTTTGGCTTTACTTCAAAGCTGTATTCACATAACATTTTTATTTACACTAAAAAAGGCAAAAAAATGTTGATAATATATCTTAATATATTGATAAACTAACCTTCATTTTTTTAAATTTCTTAGGGATGGCATATCTATCATAATTTTTACGATTTTCAGGTCAAAAGAACACTGTGATGGCATCAGTGGCTAAATGCCATGCCTCGGAAATCGCCAATAAAGCCGCCTCAGATGCTGTACAGATTTTTGGTGGCAACGGCTTCAACACAGAGTATCCAGTTGAGAAACTCATGAGAGATGCCAAAATCTACCAGATCTACGAGGGCACTTCTCAAATCCAGAGACTTATAATTTCCAGAGAGATTTTGACCGCTGCAAAGCAAACCAATGCCTAAGGAGAATTAATTTGAAAGCCTATCATATCAAAACGCGCAAAACCATTCCTATAATATTGGTTTAAAACAAAATTGCGTAAATGTAGATATGTTTGCGCAATTGATGCGAAATTAAATAAGATTCGATCTCACATTGGCGTTTATGTGAAGCTAACATAGAATTAAGAAAAAAATTCGTTATTGCTATATATTTGTAAGTGAAAATGTATTACTTTTTATATATATTAACCTTTTATCTTTTTAGTCTTGTTTTGCTAATTGTCACTGGAGTGACACTTACTTTGATGTATTTTTAATATATATTTACATATTTGTATTTTTGATAAAATAATAAACATATTTATTTAAAATGTTTTATTTTCTTTTTTGTCGTAGCAAGGCATTAGAATTTTAACATAATCGATTTTAAGCATGTAGATACTAAAAGATTTTTTTCGGTTTTTTATGGCATAAACATGCCATTACGTTAATTAAATTATATTATGCTACAAGGCCAGCGAAACCAGATAAAGAATGTAAACAAACATTCTGAACCGATCAAAGCCTCGTCGCCAAGCTCGAAGAATATGAAACATTATTGCATGTTTCTCTCTATCACTAGCGCATAAATGTATCACCGTCCCGCTAGCACGTATAATGTGACCATCTTCATCAGATATTGCAAACTTTTTAACCATATCAATAAGGCTTGTTTTTGTTCACGTCATCTTTGGCACCTGTATTGATATTGAATTTCATTTCTAAACTAGTTTTTCTTTAAACGACATTCCGTATTGGGATGCGCTGCTCTCATACTCAGTTCTCAGTTAAACAATTAAATAGTTTTTGAGGTTAAGTTCGTCGTGTGTGTATTTCATCGCGTCGCAAAAGAAAAATCTAAATTATATAGAATATATTATATTGATTATTTTACCATAAATGTAACAGGAGAGAGATCTCACAGGTCCTCAGACACTGATATAGAAACTGATTCTAGTTGGATTTTTATTTTAAAGAACAGATTTGTTTCATTTCCTCCTAAATGCTAAAGTCTGTAATCTATTCCACGTAACTAATCTAAGTTAGACCCAGCCAAATTAGAAATCCGTTGCTATATTAAATTGTTAGGCATACATAATACACATACAGAGATACACATTACCTACTTAATAACAAACATAGTAATTGTATGTATTTAAATTTGTATACTTTTTCTCTGTTTACTACTTCGCAATATTTTACAGCTTCACACTTTTATTTTAAAATGTTTTTGGCCTTTCATTTTTTTGTGTTCGGTGACCGGACTTTAGTCATTCATTTTATTTTTAAATATTTTAATTACGAGCTGTTACGAGGTCGCGCCTTTTAATAGCGCTGTTTGTTCCCCCCTACTGTAAATAAAACCGGGCTTGTGGCAACTCATTTAGTTTTAGAGCCTTCTGCTTGTACTGGCCAGCCGAGTGGAACACCAATGTGGGTAGCCCAGATGCGGGCGTAGCTCGTAGTATTAACGGAATCATTTCTGTGAACTTCAGTTGCACAACATATTTGATACCTGGTCGTCCTTGACGCGCGACGATTTGTCTGACGTATTCGAACTCATATCTGATTGATATGTAATTTCGTGCGGAGCAGTTCTTAGAGATAGTGCGCGTACGTGGAACTTTAGATTTCTTGCAGAGTATGTAAGTGCACCAGGCATGTTTTTCTCGGGTTAATGTGTTTGTATCTCCTTCTCGTAGGCTAGGTCTACTCCTTCTGACGTAGGCTTGAAGTGGAATGATCAAGTCAAGAATATCACAACAATGAGTGATGGAAATATCATCTTTGTAGCGTTTTCTTTGGTTAATGTAAAGGCGGAGGCGCGGGTAAGGACATTCGAGTAGCTTGTAGATCACCAGATTCTTCGATAAATTCAGTAATATAGAGAAGAGACGACAATGACGGAGGGATGAAACACTTCACTGGCGTCTAGAAAAGGTGCTTTCAATGTCTACTTCGAACCCACTGCCCAGGAGATCAAAATGAAATAGTTTTTCACTTTATCTTTTATGGTTGTTCACTTGACCAAAAAGTGACACCAGTCAAGTGGTATCAATGGAAATAACCTAACTTATCCAACTTAGGTTCTGAACCGCTGAATCATAAAAAAACTCATCCTAGAAAGCCGCTTTCATAATTACAATCAAATTATTACAACAATAATTTGTAGGTAGGTTTAGAACTCGTAACTAAAACCTTGCTCGAAATATTGCCAAGCTGAGTGTCCGGTAATTAATCTTGAAAAACACAAAAAGACAGGGAGTTAAAGGCCAGTTAAGAAATAATTTAAAATTAAAAATTTTGTACAACCGACTTCAATATAAATTATTAAGAACAACTCAAAAACTATTGATCAGTTAGACAGAAATTAAATGGGACGACATGAAAAGCACCAGCTTTCAAATAAGAAAAGAATCATCGAAATCGGTTCACCCAGAAAAAAGTTATGAGGTAACACACATAAAAAAACATGTAGTAAAGTTGGGTACCTCCTCTTTTTTTTAGTCGGCAGAAAAAAGACAGGAAGTTTGAACATAGCTACTGACGAAATCTGTGATTCCTGCTATAAAAACGCCAAGTCTGGATACATAAATTGGATTGTCAGTTACCAACATACAAGAATAGCCTGCTTAAATTCTGTGGAAATATAGAAAAAGACTTAGTAGACAGTGGACTGAAAAAATGTGAACAATTGAGATTACAACATAGCTGTACAATGTACATATGCTTCAGACGTGATAGTAAATAAACAAAATTTGAAGTTGTTTATGACATTAGCCTGCGATTTTAAATGTGCAAGCATGTAATATTTACGCATCCTACTAGTAAATAGAAATTAAACTAGATAGTGTAAGGCCAACGTTATACAGTAAGACTTGGATGAATGGGATCTGGATAAGTGAGAAACCTCCATAGCTGGTGGTTCCATAGCTAACTCATGCTCAGGTCCCGACATAGCACTCAACTGCCTCTGCTTGCCGGTTCAGTGCGGATGACGTGCCATCGATTACTTTTGTGTGTGGCGTATGACACGCGAATCGTGTCTTTTTTAAAATCGTTATAACTCGCTCAAATTGCGTTTTTGGAAAATTTATCCAGAACAAAATATTCATTATTTTGCAAGTAGTTTATGCTTACAGCTTTCTTTCTGGATATCTTGAAACATTGAAATTTTTAGGGGTTGACAACATTTTTTTAACTTGTACCTGGTACTCTTTTTACTTTGTGGGTTTTAAATCATGTTGTGGATTAATTGTCTAATATTGTCTAATAAGTAACAAATAATAGCACTCATTGCGATCGCTCACAAACTCAAGTGTAAATAAATTTCTGTAAAACAAGTCTCCTGTTAAAAAAAACAATGCGTTTGTCTTATTGTTTAATTTTGCTTAAAATGGTTGAACTGTCGTCTTATTACTATCATTTGGCCGAATAAACCTGCGAAGTACCATGTGCTCTTGTGATATGGTATATGGTTTATTTTTGCTTGAAACAGTTCGAAACCGTTCATGCATAAAAAGTTCGCTAATAAATAGTCTTTTGTCAATCCGCCACCGTATAGCGCCGGCGTTATTTTCCTTTTGAAAACACTTGCTTTTGCTATTCTTACTAATTAGACGTTTTCAAATCGACTTTACTTTTACATTTGTATAACATTAAATATTATTTAACATTTGTAAATATTAATGAATCACAAACCTTTTTTTTTTCAAATTATGGTTCTTGATTGTTTGATATTTACAAATATTATTATTAGGTGAAAATTTAATTTAATAAAAACCAATGTTTTCCAGGGTGGTTTAGCTGTACCTACTTATATAAATGATTTTTTTTATAAAACAAAAAATTACTACAAACTGTTTGTAATCTCTGCGTTAAAAAGTCACTTACTCTCAATTTCAAAGAAAACACGTAGAAAAACACGTAGTTACCCACTAAAAACAAGTATCCTTCCGTTTGTAACTGATGTTTGATGTCAACTAAACATAATCAACTTCTTGGCGATTTACACGCCAGGCGTGTCATGAAATATTTGTTCCGCCACAGCTAAAAGTTGTCGAAAATCGGTGCCGTAACGATTCGGTTAGTTGGACAAAACAAACCTCTACCCTCTACATCTGGATTAGTTCTTTCGATATTTTTCTATAATTGAAACATTGGAGTGTATTTTACCTCTTTTATTGAGACTATATTTTAGGGATTAGTTCTTTCCATTTTATTCGTCATAATTACCTCTATAATTGAGACAGCGAGTATATTTTACCTCTTTTACTGAGACTATATTTTGTGTACCGTTTTGTTTACTAATTCTTACTCTACCCGCAAATTCCGCACTTTGCTAATTGTGCAAAAGTGACCTGCAGTTTTAGTTTGGTTTTGTTATCGTCCGGATGTTTATTTGAAATATTCTTGTTCAATAGCTTTTTTGATTGTTAATAAAGATTACAACTCATGTGTAATGTTTACAAAATACATTATTTTATTTATATGTAACTCTCTCTAAATGTGACACTATTTATTAATAATACCTGGATATCTGAAGCACTGGGTAGGTGGAATACCTCTTTAAGTGAGACAAATTTGCATGTCCCTTAAGGTCCCAGTTATCCAGGTTTCACTGTATACATGTATCTAGAAAAACTTTGTTGTGTATTAGGTGTCATCATCTTCATCATCATCATTACAACCCACACTAGTCCACAAGTCCATTGCTGAACTAAATGGCCTATCCAAGGAATGCCGCAAAGTGTGGCACTGAGTCACCTCCATCCATAGAGTTCCTGCATCTCTTACCAAGTCGTCGCGTCATCTAGAGCCGCGCTGCACTTTGCTTACTGGTACGCGGCTGCCACTCGACAATCTTTCTTCCCAATTAATTGTCGGTTCTTCCATCTATAGGCCGCCTCATTCTCGAAGCTCCTTCAGCTTACTGATCGGTTGGGCTATCTCGTTTACTCCGGTACTATTGTAGACATCCT